CGCTGGTTCGAGTCGCGAAGACGGGCCGGCCGGTCGCCTCGCCCAGGCTGTAGCGCAGTCCGCGCAGGTCCGCGGCGGCCGGCGGATGCGCGGCCCCGAAGCCGAAGCCGAAGCCGAAGCCGGAGCCAGACTCGGAAGTGGGACGAGCCTCGGGCCAGATTTCGAGGATGTACTGGAGCATCTGAGTCATGGTTCTCGGCTCCAGAATGCCGGGATCCAGATCACGGGCCGACTCTGGCGACGGAAAGAGCAGCACCGGCGCCAGGCACGAGGCGAGCTGGTGCACGGTCATCTTGTTCCCCTCCGACCGGTGGATGATCCGCTTGAAGTGATCCAGCAGACAGAGCAGGATCTCCTGAAACACATCCACAAGAGACCGGCTGAAACATGACGCCAACCACATTCTGCCCACCCCAGCCAACCCCACCAATGCCCATCTCTCGAGGAGCCTCAAAGCGAGACAGACTTTCACTTTTATGCAAGCCTGTCCGAGAAAGAGATTGCAAACTGGATCTCACCACATGACGACGCACGATTTGCGTTCAACTGCAACCGGTAGACTTTAATCCCACGTTCCGGTTGAGCCAGTAGACGAGACATACTCTTTTTATCTTTGTGTGAAAATGAGGCTCAGATCATGTCTCCCACTTGACGCACAGTGTTGAAACACAAACTCATTTACGCAACAGTCTCACACCTCATCTCTCCCATACGCGCATAAAGAAAAAACGAAACTGTAGACCAATAGATTGATAGATAGATTGATAGAAAATGATTTGTGTGTTTGTGTGTGTCTGTGTGTGTGTGTGTGGGGAGGTGTGTGGGTTAATGTATATAGGCGGTAGCGATGCTAGACTAAAGTGATGAACAAAGCCTAATACCAAGCTCGGGTCATCGAGGTTGTTATAACCCAAAAGACCCCAGATCAAGACAATGTAGGTGCGTAAACAACTCCTATTGAGATGATGCGATGTAGGCCTGTAGGCGGGCCAGTTGAGTTACGAGACCACATGCCCTAATCTCTCGGTCTGGGGTCGTTAAGAGGTGTGTTGACCTTGTTGTCGCAACTTGGTCTTGTTGTCATGGCGACTATGCAGAACGCACCGAGTCCGAAGTCGTCTGCCATTCTAGTTGTCATGACTCCCAGCATCTGACAGCGGACTTGATACATTCACAGACATTTCGCCACAAAAGGGCACACATTTTGACGAATGGAAGGTGGATAAGTGACAAGCGGCAGGGGGATAAGACGGTAAAGAGTAGATAGATAGACCAGTACAGAAAGAGGAGTGTCAGTGTAACCGTTTTCGGCAGAACGGTTGTCGAGGCATTGACTTCACTTGTCTCTTTGACTGATGATGCCGACCACGATGCCGACGAAACGTCTGAGAATGTACCAAGTCCTCTGTCTGATGCTGGGAATTATGATAACTTTAATGACAGAGGACTTCGGACTAGGCGCCTTCTGGTAAGTCGCCCTGACAACAAGACCAACTTGCGACAACGAGGTCAACCCACTTCTGTAAATCGCGAGGAGACTGCAACCATACCAGAGGCCACATCATCTTGGTCTTCATATCTTCAATTAAAGAATATTTACTTATCGAAGATATGATGATTAATATGTTTTGCCATCTGGAAAGGTTCTACTAAGTCGCCCTGACAACAAGACCAAGTTGCTATAACGAGG